TGGCTGATGAGTGGTCCAACCTGTGACATAACGCCAAAGAGCTGAAGGTGCCTACATTTTAACTGGCTTACTCCTTCCAAATGCTGGCTGACTACCAGCCTCGACCGTTTAAACATCACATTTCTAATGCAGTAATCCCATCTGCAATGAGCAGGGAAGAAACTGCCACAGGCCAGGGATGTTTGCAAAGTGAATTAAGTCACCATAAAAACTGACCACATTGGTTCCCAGTTCCAAGTCTGGTACAAGGTGAAGCCATCCATCCAGAGCTCGCAACACCTTCAAGAAGAAATGACTGCCCTGGGAGTGTTTTTAGAAACTCCTAACACACTTTAGAAGTGTTTAAATGATAAATGCTGCAGGATTTTGTCATTACTGATCTACCAACTATTAGCTGTATCCAAAATACTTCTGAGATGAGACTCCAATGCAGCTTTTTTTAAACGGTCTTGTCTTAGATGATTTCCACTAGAATTCCTTCCTAATTCAAAAGTCTTTAAAACACAACGTCTATGTTATCTATTTATAAAGCTGTACGACAGCTTCGGGGAGAATCCTTTGGAATACTTATTTTTTCACATCCCTTTTCTGGAGCTGGCAACGCGCAGAAACAAGTGTGTGTATTAATATCGCTCTGCCCCCAAGTCTAGACTCCCTCGAGCTCTATTTAGGGCCCACGGTCGGTGTCTCTGACCCCCGTGACGCATTCCTTTCTTTCATCTCTGCAACTCCCGGCCACCCCTTCTCAGCGTGTCTGGCTAATCTGCCTGATGTTTCTGGGGCATAAATGGACTGAGAATATGTGACTGAGAAAAAATCAGATAGGAATGTGGTTCTGGGCCTTTTTTTTCCCTTGACATAAAAGAATTTCTTTTATTGATATGGAAATGAACAGATGTCTGATAACCTTCTGCCAACCTGGAACATTTCTGCTTCCTCCAGGGACCTTCCTTGGGCTGATGTTTCGCAGGACTTCCACAGCCAATTCAAAAGTCCTGTCGCGGGTATCAGTGCGATCTAGACCAGCCCCAAAATGGGAGACTCCTTCCCTGGCCCCCATTTCTGGCCTGGTGCCCCGACTACCCATAAAATAGGAAAGACGCTCTTGCCGCCGGACAGGAGGCGATTTTATGTTTACACCAGAGCGCTACCACGGGGAGAAGCACTGCGCTCACTTCAAATCACAGCTCTTCACATGCCCTGCGTCTTCTGTTTTATCTGACCACTTGCACTAGCACTAAAAGAGAAATGATGGGAAGCCGGTGCGCACGCCTTTACCGCTCAAGTCGTAACAGTCAGTCCCGATGTTTTACAGTCTGCTCCCCAGACCCAGGTCTCCAAGCACCCAGGTGGGCCGCCACAGGACACGCTGAACCTGCAGCACCAGGACCACAGGCAGGAGGGCTCACCATGACCACATCTCAGAGCCATGAAATAGCCAGTAACAACCTGTTTCATTATTAAATCTGCCTCTGCTCACTCCGCCTCTTCTCTGGAAAACTCCAACTCAACCCAAGGAGATCCAAATCCATTATCATCCTTCTGTCTGAGTTCCATGCAAATCTGTGACTCCTCCCGTTTCCTGCCTCTCACCCATTCCCCTAGTTACATCCAAGGCATTCTGTTGTTTGGTAAGATTTTATCTTCCATCAGCTGGTTCACTCCCTGAATGGCTGCAACAGCCAGGGCTGGACCAAGCTGAAGCCAGGAGTCAAGAGCTGCCACCCAGTCTCCCACGTGGGTGCAGGGGCTTAAGCACTTGGCCATCTTCCACTGCTTTCCCAGGCACATCAGCAGGGAGCTTATCAGAAGTGGAGCAGCCAGGACTTGAACGGGCACACATATGGGACGCTGGCGTGGCAGATAGAGGCTGACCCCAAGTCACATTGTCTTCTGCCCTGAAGCCCCACCTCCAGTGGTCATGTGACTTCTGAGAGTACTCAGAATAAGTGGGCACTTTCAGGCCACCAGAGCCAACCACTAACTTCTGGGACTACCCAGACCCCTCTGCAGGGGTCTAAGCAACTGCCCCAAAGACAGAACTAGGAAACCCAATGGGACCAAGAATACACGTTGGCCACATAATATTTGGGGATATACTGACATCAGGAACCAGAAGTGGCAATGTTTGGTTAAAAAAAAAAAACCTTCAGCTCTGCAAAAACATGTCTCTCAAAGATTCTTGTCTCATTAATAATCATCAGACTCATGTCTTTCCCTTAAAAAATGGAAGCACTCTCTGCTATGGCCTGGAAAAGCAGTGGAAGATAGCCCAAGTCCCTGGGCCCCTGTACCTGCATGGGAGACCTGAAGGAAGCTCCTGGCTTCAAATCCATGCAGCTCCGGCTGTTGTGGTCATCTGGGGAGTGAACCAGTGGATGGAAGACCTTTCTCTCTCTACCCCTGCCTCTCTGTAGCTCTGCCTTTCAAATAAATAAATAAAATTTTTTTTAAAAAAAAGGAAGCTCTTGCCAAACCTCACCTTAGAGTGACATTTTAAGTTTGAATCATTTTTTCCTTAGTCTATCAGTGAGAAAGTTTAAAAAAAAATAGAGGAAAACTGATTTACTCAATGTCCCAAAAGAAATCAGTGGTGGAGAGAGAACTTAATAAGAAGGTTTGTGGATGTGCGCTTCTGCCTTTGACTGCCTGGGAGACTTTTAATGCCACCTAGTCGAATTTAATACTCTACTGAAGAAAATATCCCCCGAATGCAGTTAAGCATCTGAAGTGAATTACAAAGATAATTCTTGCTAATTACCCCTCAAAAACATGTCTTTATCTTCCAGACTCTTATTCTCCAGGGCTAACCCCATGTTGCAGTCACAAATACTGCACTTGTTCTAATGAAACTTAACTCCTTCCGTGCCCAAGGTCCACAGTCTGCCCACCAATGCTGCCTGGGGAAGGAAGGACTTGTCTCCGAGTGACATGGGCTCCCCCACGGTGTGCCGGGTAACACGGCAACTGCTGGTTTCAAACACTACCAACAATAAAGGAATAACAGCATGGTGCCTAAGTAGGGGGTACAAATACTTAAAGCACGGAGACCGTCCCTAAAATTATTATTCCTAAAGACACACAGATTTGTTGTCAGAAACAAGGCCCTGAAACGCACCGCACAGGAACCACACCCCACCCCACCCCACCCCCGCCGAGCGCCAGACACCCCTCTGCACCTGATGGCACGCTTCGCTGAGCTGACCCCTTATCAAACCTGGGCAACTGCGGCACTGAGATAGTCACGTGTGCGCTTGGGGTGGTCCCTTGTGAGGGTCCCTGTGACCAGCGGCCTTCCTCCACATCCCTATGTCGCTGGAAGTCATGGGAGAACGTTGAGGTCCAGGGCTCCAGTGCTGCTTCTGGGGCCTCCACTCGGTCTGACCATTATTCAACTCCAACATCACGTAAATAAACCGGGTGAATATACTGCCTCCTGTAACGTGTAGATGAATGCTGCGGGCCGCTTCAGAAACCGGGTTTGTCACGTGACTCCGTAAACGGGAACAGATGCATTTAAGCTTCAACATTTGTGTCTTCCGCCCAGGATTTTTCTTTCCCTTCTTCCATTTTCACGAAAGAGGACTATTTTGGTTTACTTTCACACATGACCAATACTCAACAACACATGCACAGAAGAGCCTATCAAACGAAGGGGTCCTCAAGAACATTCTAAAATAATCAGATAGGCTCTGACTTAATGGAATCGCCAACTACCAGATGATACCCATCTTTAAAAACCAAGGCTCTTCCCATCCTAATCACACACCCCATCCCCTTACACGACCTCACAGGACCTAACACACCCTCCTTTGTGGCACGCATGGCAGATGCAAATCAATTATGACCTGTGCCTTTTGTGGTTCCTGCCCGCGTCATCCATCAGAAAATAAGCTCCGCGTGGACTAGGAGTGTTTGTACCTGTTATCTGCACTACGGAGCCTTGAAGTGGGGGTAGAAAATCAATGAATATTGATGAACGGCCAAACAGCAAATACATGGGAGTGAAGAGATGGCGTGAAATTGCAGGGCCTGGTACCCAAGGTGAGGCATGAGCTTTGAGTCCTGGGGTGTCCTGGCACAGGCAGTACCACACTACAAAAAGGCACACTGACAGCACACCCCGAGGTAATTGTTTTTGAGATGAGTTCTAGACGCACAACCCAACTTTCCTGGAGGTGATTTCCAACAATTTCACAGCATCAGTGGCTATTTGTGGCACATCCGTAAAAACATCAACGCGCGTGTGTTAGGATAAGCAGGCGTGCAGGCAGGCCGACGCAGCCGTTTCTAAACTCCACTCCTCAAAAAAATCACAGTATTTCATCTCCAAAGTCAAAGCAATATAAACTGGGAAATGCCACTGCACAAGGTCAGAAAAACCTCCACAACAATCCTGACTTCTTGACAGGATTGTCTCCCTCACCATTGATTAAAATTAAAAAAAAAAAAAAAAAAAAACCTCTTTGAAGTGGAAGAGTAAATATTATCACTCGATAGTACTCGCACCCCGCAGCACAAACAGGCCTGCATTGTGTGACACTCGGCAGCCCGGGGGGGTCCCGCCACGCCGCACCGTTGCCATGGAGGGTCAACGTGCTCGACGCGCAGCCGGCCGCCACCTCTTAGTGGTCCTCAGATGGACACAGACAGTTATGGGGAAACGCTCCCCTCCAGGTCTTCGCAAGGGATCGCAGGTGGGGGTGGGGCGGAAAGGCCAATGGGCGGCCCGCAGCCCCGCGTCGGGGACCGCGGGACGAACCCCGGGGGCGCGCCCCGTCAGCTGCAGGACCGCCTGGCGGCGGGGCGGGGGCGCGTAGGGTCGCCCCGAGCCAGCACCCCCAGGGGTGTGGAGCAGCCGCCAGCGCCAGCGGGGCGCGAGGTCGCGGCGGGCCCGGCAGCTGCGGTGCCGGGCGGTGCGGAGCCGCTGGCGCCCACCCCGGGTCGCGGCTCACCCGGCGCCTCCCTCCCGGCCGCGCCCCCCGCGCCGCGGCGCTCACCTTGCCGGGGAAGGGCCCCGGGAGGAGCAGCTTCAGGGCTTGCCTCTTCAGCTCCACCAGGCGGGCGTTGCAGTTCTCGCACCAGACGCCGCGGTCCGAGCCGGGGGAGGAGCCGCCGCCGCTGCCCGAGCCCGGGGAGCCCGTGCCGAAGCCCGGCGAGCCGCCCAGGGAGCCCGGCGAGCTGGTGCCAATGCCCGGGGAGGCGGGGCCCGGGGAGCCCGTGAAGGAGCTCGGGGACGAGGTGCCCGAGCCGGGGGACGGGGTCCCGGACGAGCCGAGCGCCGAGCCCGCGCCCTCGGGGGTGGGCCGGCTGCCGGCGCGCGACTCCTCATACGCTTTCCGGTACCAGCTCTCAGGGGAGAAGGGCGCCGCGGGCTTGGTGGGCGAGCAGACTTCATTCACCTGCGGGCGAGACACGCGGCGTCAGGAGCTGCGGGGCGGTTGCTCGCGCGCACCGGAGCTGGCCCGGCTGGGGGTGCTCGCCCGCGGGGGCACTCAGTCGCCGCCGAGGGTCCGGCGAACGCCCAAGGGCGCCGCTTCGGGAGCGCTCTAAGGCCTGCGGCCAAACAGTCCTGCCTCCATCTGTGTCGCTAACTGCCCCCAAGTGAGTCCCCACCGCCCGAGTCACCCCTTGCGCCCGTCCCCGGTCGCCGGCGGACTCCTCTGGGGTCAGGAGAAGGGCTCGTTGGGGGACTAGGGGGGTGGCACCCAGCCGTCTCTGCAGGGGGAGGCCGCAGATTGGGCGCCCCGCGCTTTGGAACCAGGCACCCACCCAAGCGAGAGCCCAGGATAAAAGATCTCCGAAGACCCTTCGCGGGGCGGGGGAGACGGTGATCTGGGGGCTTTTTTATTCACTCGGGCGCAAGCCCTCCGTATCCCGCAAGTCACAGGAGGGGTCTCCAGGCTCCAGGGAGACGACCCGAGGAACCGCAGAGAATCCACGGGAGACCCTTCCCCTCGGGCTTAACTCTGCCTGGAAGTCCAGGAATGCTGCAAAAGTTCCCGGTGCCGGGATGAGGCAGGGACCAGAGGACGCGGAGCACTGCGAGAGCGAGGCGAGCGCGCACGGCCCGGCGGAGGCGCAGCTGCCGCGGGAGCAGGGCTCGGGGCCGCGCGCTGGCCACCGGCGCGCGGGGCCGCACGTCCCGGGAAGGGGCCGGCCGGCCGGGATGGGCCTGGAAAGGCGTCTCCGCGCCGTGCCCGGCGCAACTTACCCCGTATTTCTTGCCCCTGCTGGAGACCGCAAGCCTCTCTTTATTCCCAGCTACGGAATTCATCGTGGCTTCTCCGGAGCAGAGCGTCTCGGGGTTCCTTCCAGCACGGCTGCATCCAAAGGGGGAGGGGGGTCTCGAGACCCAGACGCGCCCCGGGTTGCAGGGGGTTGTTCTTGGCCCGCAAGTCAAGGTTTCCTAGCCGGGGGGAGGGGGCATAAAAGCCAAGTCACGGGAGCAGTGAGGCTGCGGGGAGGGTGGAGGTGGCCGGTTATTCTTCTCTTCCGATGCGTTTCATCCTCGCGCCGTGCCTCCTCCGGGCACGCGTTCTCTGCCGGCAGTCACAGCCAGACGGCCGGCCTATTCCTCGGCCCCGCACCGGGAAACGCAGGGGTGCGATCCAGACTCGCAGCCCCGCAGGACGCCGGCGAGCCCGGGCCCCGGCCGGCGCGTGAACTCCGTCCGCCCAGCCCGCGGGGGGTGGGGGTGGGGGTGGACTTGTCTCCTTCACCGAGCGCGGTAACTGAGTTCAAAAGAAATTCTCCCAAAATATAAAGATCCAGGCTCGGGGAGGAGCCTCGGCGTGTCGCCGAGCCAATATGCGCCGGCCCGCTTCGCCTGACAGTTGCGCGAGGGCAGGGAGAGGGGCGGCTCCGCGTGGCCCGCGCCGTCCGCGGTCAGCGCGCGCGTGTGCGCCCGGCTGCCGCGCCGAGCCCCGGGAGCCGCGGCCCCGCCACCCGGGGGCCCGCCGCCTGCCTGCCGCCGCCGCCGCCGCCGCCGCGCCGGCCGGGATCCATTTTATGCCGCGGCGCCGCTCCTGCCTGACATTGCGCGACCGAGCGCTGGGGCGGGGGTGGGGTCATAAATCCCGCAGGGTGCGGGGAAGTTGCTGGCTGGCAGCCCGCCCGCCGCCCGGGGCGCTGGTGACCCCGCGCTGCGCCCGCCGGGGACTGCGGGGCAGCGCCGAGCGAGCGCGGCTGGACGGAAGTGCTGCGCCCGAGCCGCCCCCGCCCCCAAATTCTTTCTCTTCCTGGCGAGGCTTGCAGGTCTGCCTTTGAACCGCCGCGTGAAAGGGACTGAGTCACAAACAAGTCCGCAAACACACCGGGGCCTCCCCCCCGCCCTTTGTTCTCCGAGACCTGCCCTCCCGCACCCCCAGCCCCGCGCAGCGCCGCGGCCCCTGGCGCCCCGCCCGCAAGCTGCGCCTCGCCGCGCCGCCCCGGCCTGGGACAGGTGGGCCCGGAGACCCCCCGCGGGCCGCCGCCGAGCCGAGGACACGCAGCGCGGACGGCGCGGGCCTGCGCAGGGGGTGTGGCGCGCGAGCTGGCTGCGGCCGCCGCGTGCCGGGGGCTCGGTGCTCACCAAGCCCGCCGCCTCCCGCACCCGGGCCCCGCAGCCGTCGCCCCCTCGGCGGTCGCCGCGCCCCGCCCCGGAGCGATCGGCGGAGGCTAGGCGCCACACGTGGCCGCGCCGGGGCGTCATTTTTTCATCTCCCGGGAGGACATTTCTCTTGGCGAGCCGGCAGGTCCGTTTTGTCGTGACCTTTGATTTAACACCCGCGAGACGGCCCCGCGCGGGCCCGGGGATCACGTGGGACGTCGTGGCATCTCCACGCCCGGGAGTCGTGGCCCGGCGCGGCCAGGGCGCACGGGATGGCCGGGGCTGCGCCGCCGCCGGCCTCCTCCTGCCACAGGGAGGAGGCCCGTGGAGCCGGGAAGAGCGGCCATCGCAGATCGGGAGCCCAGGGGCGACGCCGCCCCGGCTGCCTTCCGCGGGGAGATTCGCGCCGCGCCTCCCGGCGCCGCAAGCCCCCGCGTGGGAACATTTCACAGCTACCCAAGCGCGGTAAAGAGACCAAAATGAAAAGCCCGACAACACTGTGGAAGTTCCCATCGCATTCCCACTTGCACCGTGAACGCGAGCCTCTCAGTAGAGGACCCGAGTGGGGGGCAGGTACACCTCCCCGCCGCGCGCGCCGCCGCCCAGCCACATCTGTATTCCGCCAAGACGCCGTGCCAAACACTCTGGCCATGAGCGGCGAGCGTGGTCCGGCCCCAGGGACCAGCCAAAGAGGGGGAGCCCGTGTGGGCAAGGCCCTAGTGTGGAGGGGGAGCCGCCGCGGAGCTGCGCTGTGCCGCGCTGCGCACCTTGGAGACCCGCGAGCCCAGGGCTGGGCCCATCTGCATCCCCCAGCAGCCAGGGCCCAAATGTGCGTATTGGCGGGCTCGGAGCGCCCTCTGTTGCCGAAAGGGTAGGACCGCAGGCCCGGCGATAGGGATTCCAGGGTTTTTCAAGTTGATGGAGACGTTATCTGCGGCGACACGAGCTCAGGTTCAGTGTTCAGTTCTGTAGATTTACACAAGTGGGTGCTCGCCGTTAAGCTGCTTCCTCAATAGAGAGATACATGTCCGTCGTCCCCTGTCTCTCCCCTGGCAGTCTCCACCCTTCATAAGCAGCCACTGTTCTCATTTCCAACACCATAGATGAGTTTTGACTGACCTTGGTTTTTGTTTTTATCCATAGAATCCACGTGGGATAACTCTTGTGTTTGGATTTTTTTTCATTTAATATAGTTTTTTTTCTATTTAAAAAATATTTATGCTGGCGCCGCGGCTCAATAGGCTAATCCTCTGCCTGCGGCACCAGCACCCCGGGTTCTAGTCCCAGTCAGGGCGCCAGATTCTGTCCCGGCTGCTCCTCTTCCAGTCCAGCTCTCTGCTATGGCCCAGGAGTGCAGTGGAGGATGGCCCAAGTCTTTGGGCCCTGCACCCGCATAGGAGACCAGGAGAAGCACCTGGCTCCTGGCTTTGGATCAGTGCGGTGCACCGGCCACAGGGACCATTGGGGGGGAGTGAACCAACGGCAAAGGAAGACCTTTCTCTCTGTCTCTCTCTCTCACTGTCCACTCTGCCTGTCAAAAAAAAGTTTATTTATTTGAAAGAGTTACAGAAAAAGAGAGAGGGAGAGAGAAGAGAAGTCTTCCATCCACTAATTCACTCCCCAAATGGCCACAACAGCCAGAGTTGGGACAGGTGGGAAGCCAGGAGCCAGAAGCTTATTCCTGGTCTCCCACATGGACGCAGGGGCCCAGGGACCTGGGCCATCTTCCAGTGCTTCCTCAGGCCACAGCAGAGAGCTGGAGTGAGCAGCAGGGACATGAGCAGGTGCCCACATGGGACGCCAGCATCAAGAGCAGTGGCTGTATCCACTACATCACAATGCCAGCCGAGTAACAGATTTTTTTTTTTCATTTCAGGTTGTTCCTAGCATGGATCTGGCTTCTGTTTGTATGCTCGGTTTTTTGCTCCCCCATCTGTCCTGCCTTCTTTTAAGTAGAAGAGTTTGTAGTTTTCTATTTTCATCCCTGAAACTCTAGTACTTATAATTCTCATCTTCCCTTTCGTGGGCTGCTTAGAGCTAACACTGTGCCACCTCTAGAAAGTAAGCTTGCACAATACAAAGAGAATGCCACCCCACCTCCCTCCTTTGGGCTCCTCTGATGTGTGCTGTATCTACACACATTATCAAGCCTGCAATGCAATCGTATCGATTTTACTTCAGTAATCTATTGCCATTCAGTGAAGCTAGAAAGTTTAAGTTTTTCAAATTTATCCGATCTTACCCTCCCTTGATCTCTTTGGGTTTTCTTTCTCCGTCAGAGCCAAGTTTCTAACAGGGCTATTTTATTTTTAAGATTTATTTTATTTATTGGAAAGAGGTGCAGAGAGAACTAGAGACACACAGAGAGAGGTCTTCCATCCACTGGTTCACTCCCCAAGTGGCTGCAATGGCCAGAGCTGAACTCCGATCCGAAGGCAGGAGCCTGGAGCTTCTTCTGGGTTTCCCACGCTGGTGCAGGGGCCCAAGCACCCAGGCCATCTTCTACTGCTTTCCCAGGCCATAGCAGAGAGCTGGACCAGAAGCGGAGCAGCTGGGTCTCGATTGGCGTCCATATGGGATGCTGGCACTGCAGGCGGTGGCTTAACCCACTACACCATAGCGCTGGCCCCAAATGGGGCCCTTTTCTTTCAGTTTGAAGAGCCTTTAGCATTTCTTGTGGTGAGTCTCCTGTCAACATTTCTTTACATTCTGCTCATCTGAAGAAGGCTTTGTTTCATTTTTATGTTTGACAATGCATTGCATTGCGCTGGCTGGCTGGGGTGAAGGTTATTTTCCTCTCAGCCCCGCAAGGACACCATTTGTCACCCTCTGGCTGTACTTGCTCTAAGATTTTATTTATTTGAAAGGCAGAGTTATACAGAGAGAGAGGAAAAAAAGGTCTTCCATCCGCTGGTTCACTCCCCAATTAGATGCAATGACCAGAGCTACGCCAATCCGAAGCCAAGAGCCAGGAGCTTCTTCTGGGTCTCTCACATGGGTGCAAAGGCCCAAGGACTTGGACCATCTTCCACTGCCCTCCAAGGCGCACTAGCAGAGAGCTGGATTGGAAGTGGAGCAGCCAGGACTCACCCAGCACCCATATGGGATGCCGGTACTGCAGGTGGAGGCTTAGCCCGCTGCACCACAGCGCTGGCCTCTGCCCTCGCTTCTGATTCCAGGTCAGCAGGGATTCTGATAGACGTTCTCCTGTGTGTCTCCTGCATGTTCTTTTTCTCTGCGGTGCTTTGAAGGTGCCCTCTTTTTTTGTTTGTTTTTTGACAGGCAGAATGACAGTGAGAGAGACAGAAAGGTCTTCCTTTACTGTTGGTTCACCCCCCAATGGCCGCTGTGGCCGGAGCACCACACTGATCCGAAGCCAGGAGCCAGGTGCTTCTCCTGGTCTCCCATGTGGGTGCAGGGCCCAAGGACGTGGGCCATCCTCCACTGCACTCCCTGGCCACAGCAGAGAAGTGGCCTGGAAGAGGGGCAACCAGGACAGAATCCGGCACCCCAACTGGGACTAGAACCCGGGGTGCCGGCACCACAGGCAGAGGATTAGCCTATTGAGCCGCGGCGCCGGCCAAAGGTACCCTCTTGACCTTTGGTCTTCAACAATCTGACCTTGGTGTGGGTCTCTCGATATTTATCCCACTTAGGATTTAATGAATTCCTCAGATCTAGAAGTTGATATAGAAGTTTTTCCATCAAGTTTTAGGAATTTGCAACTATGATTTATTTAAATATTTTTTCTGCCCCAGTCGCTGTCTCCTCTCCTGGAACTCTGATCACACGGCTGTTACTACACTGCTTGATGTGGTGCCACAGGGGACTAGAGCTCTACCTGTCCTACAGACTGGATAATTTCTACTTTACCTATTTTTTTTTAATAATTATTTGAAAGACAGAGTAAAAGAGAGAGAGGGAGACATGGAGAGAGAGATCTTTCATCTGCTGGTTCACTCCCCGAATGGCCACGATGGCTGGGACGGGACCAGGAGAAAGCCAGAAGTCTAGAACTCCAACTGGGTCTCCTGCATTGGTAGCAGGGGCCCCAGCACTTGGGCCATCTTCTGCTGCTTTCTTAGCTGCATTATTAGGAAGCTGGATCAGAAGTGGAGCAGGTGGGACTCCAACCACTGTACATACACCACAACACCAGCCCCTCTACGTAGCCTGTATTCAGAATGCTGACCCTTGCTTCTGCAATCTCCAATCTTCTGTTAAACCTACACAGTAAATTTTTCACTTCAAATGTTGTGTATTTTTCCATTTCTCTGTTTCTTTTATAGTGTGTGAACATACTGTAGTTATGATAGCAGCTGTAACATGCTTGTCTGAATTCCAGCGTCTTGCTCACTTGGGGGTCCTTGTCTATGGACTGATTTTCCTAGTGACTGTGAACCACATTTTCCTGTTTCTTTTCATAGTCAGTAGACTTCACCTATTGCTGGATATTGCAGGTGCTGTGTTGTGAAGAAGCTAGATTCTATTCTTTCCCTTGAGTTTCCATTGCGTTCTGGCAGGCAGCTAAGTTGCTGGTGGCTCACTGCCACGGTTTGTGTATGACTTGAATATGCCCCCTAAGGTGCACCTGTTGGAAGCTTGGTCCTCAGTGTGGAGATCTGACAGCTGGTGCTACCTTCAGGAGGTGGAGCCTTGGCTGGGGTTCGGGAACTGAGAGTGCTGCCTTCAGGAGTTGATGTAGCTCTCTGGTTAGTGCTC